GCACACTTGAGACGATCCCAGTCAGCGTTCGGCTCACCAACCTCATTCCTCACTGACAATTGGTGGGTCAGTTCGTTATGATATTGTTGAACCGCACACTGCGAGTTCAAGTTATAGGTAAAAAGGTAGGAACTTCAAAGAAATGGGAAGACTGAGCGCCAAGTGTGCGTACACTAGAGCATAGTCGGAATCCAGGCATGCGCTCCAAGTTGACCGACAGTCTTGGACTGATGTGTGCCACCTGCAACTGATGACAATATGGTCAATTTGGGTCCCGGTGATTTAGGAATTCGGTGGGCGCCAGGTGACATGGTGTGAACGTTTCTGCTGGAAGGAAGTGCTACTAATTATAAAGATTGCGGTCGGCGCACAGCCGCAGAAATCGAGCACGATTGTCTGTTCGGTGTGCATCGACGCCGAAGCGCCCTCCCAGGTGTTTTCCAGAGTCTGAAAGACGACCTAGTTGGACATTTAAGTTACCAGCAAGAATCACGATGTCAGTATTTGTTGAATACTGCCTCTTGAATACGTCAGGTTCTAACAATGTGATGCCAACTCTCCTAGTCGGATGAACGAACGAGACTCAGAATTATTTCACGCACAGCACGGTAAATGACAAATCTCGAAGTCTGTGGGTTCTCGGAACTTAGCCGCGAGTCGAATGGGTTCCTAGATCGAACGCAAAGTTTCTACACACGATTTTCCAACCCAAGAAGGATCAAGAACAAGACAGGACTTTTGCCACAGGCGCTTTTACTGGCCAAAGCTAAGGCGATTCTAGCGTTGTACAGCCTCATTTTTATATCACAAAACGGTGATGAAGGGGTTTTTTCCTTGGAATGCTTTGCGTAAGCAAACCCTGGAAACAAGAAACATGGTTTTATGTAAATATGCAAAAGTCCGTAAACTGAGCAGGAATGTTGGAAGTTTGGCGACAGTTGTCCGGAAAATAAATGTTGCTTGGATACAACAATGGGTGTTTGGTTGGAAACGAGACTGTTTCTGGGTGCAAAGGCTAAACGAATGTGAATGTTTCACGAGTTGGAAGGCTGATTGAACGTGTGCGTTTTGTCTGATCCGAGTACATGTGCACTTGTGTGAATCGGGTTCTCAGCCTTCCGTAATTTAAGCCTGCAATAATTGTAGGGACGTTGGGTCCCCATAACAGTATTCTTCGCCATGCGAAGAGATGAAAGATGATAGTAGAAATCATCTTTGGTGCCCTCCGTCAGTAGAAACACAAACGGAGGCGATGAAGAGGCACCTTGTCTTTAAACGGTGCACATTAACCCTAATAGAGGTTCGAAATCGAACTGCACACATGCAGCCAAGGGTGTATTAGGGTCGCCATAGTACGTGCCGGTGACATCGGTTGAGGGTAAAGATCCTTCCTAGTTACTCAGTTGTTTGTGAGATGTGAACAAACTCACCAGCCGCATGGGATATGGCATACTGCGCGGGATTGTGGAAAAGGAAGTCCTTACGTAGACCGAATCGAAATTTTTTCCTCCGAGTGAGATTAGAGGACACTAAGCGCGATTTTAAAAGTATAGACCCTATGACATAATAAGTCAGTAGATGTTCCTATACATTATCATATTCCAGAAAAGCAATTGTGGAAAACGAAGTTATCGATTTAATTGCTGTCCACTTCTATTTATGAATGCACATAATGCCGAGTACAGCAAGAGAAGGAAACTGATCTGGAAATGGGTGAGGTTCAGGTTATTTAACCAGCCCAGGGTTGTTGGTGTAACTGTACGGTAAGTGTAATCAAAATGTTTGGATGAAGAAGTATAAAGCGATATCAGGTGGCTTCTCCTTTCTAGCGTGCAAGAATAGCCTAGCCGCATATAACAATCTTTATGAAAAACACGAACGAGGATGAGTGAAGATTGTGTTAGTATTTCCTTCATAGCTCATAATTTTTGATAAGGCCGTAAATTAGGCATGGCGTAGAGCCAATACAGAATGAACAGTTGGTAAATCAGTCTCCGTTTGCAATCCATTAACAACCCACAAGGTTTAGCGTGACTGTGACGTAGGTTTTCCTGAGTATAAAGTGCAATATCCTGCACCAAGAAACGTGAAGGAGACTCTAACTTCTTCTTTTCCTTTCATCTTAGCCGACAATGACCATTCGAAAGGTTCCATCACAGCTCCACTTTTGATAGGAAGTGTACTCAGAGTGCATAGGAGACAAGCTCCATTCCCTGGATCCAGGATTCCTGGCCCACATCCCTATGACAAAATTGCGAACCTAGGACAGAACAATCATAAATCATTTGCAGTTCGTGACGCCCGGGAAGCTGTCGTCGCGTTTATTGACCACCGACAATGGTGTGCAATTAGGCTGGTTCGAGCAATGGATACTACATTGGGCCGGAACAGTTGTGTCTCCGAGGTCTGAACACGTTACGCAACCCCATATTTCCTCCTTGTAGACTGGAAATCGGCCGTCCATCATACAGACAGCTTTTACTGCACTCGCCCATGTACGCACATTGAATTCACATCTTCGGACATTGTCGCCTCTGCGTTGTGTGCACGTGGCCGATGTTTACTTCCATCGATCCACACATGTGCGCATGTGGACAATCCAGCGGGTTGCCAGCCTAAGGGTCAAGCACCAAAAGTGAACAGCGCCTTGCGTGAAATGCTGTCCGCTCGGATTTGGCAGTTGTTTATCGCAACACGCCCCATGGATGGCCATTCGGTTGGATTCTAATCTCCATCATGCGGTGACATAATCGATACAATGCACGCGTTGTACGTCTCCGCTCGAAAGGTGAAGCTTTGGTCAAATGCAGATCGTCATCCGACCAAGCGATATGCACGATAAGGAGTGAAAGAAGTGGTTTCACGGAATAAAAACAAAGGTGGAGCGTAAGAAAGAGTGCTACAAAATAAGGGGATGATGGGATCATGAGTGTGATTTGCAGCCTGCTTTGTTTTCATATGGTGTACGAGTACTGTGTGAAGAGCACGACTAGGGGGAAGTTATATGACAATTGGTGGTTACCACTGGGCCGGATAATTTGATGGGTTGCTTGCAGAGGGCAATTCCACCACGTGTTCACAACGAGCGGAGTGCTTAAATGACGACTAAAGACATTATTTCAAGCAGCTGCATAGATATCGGCAGCAAATTCCCACAACTGTTTGGCTAATGTAGTCAAACAAATTGATAACCCCGGAAGGGATAATGTTGTAACGAAAGGCTCTGGTAATCAGTTATTCAGTCATCTACTTAAAGAGTGAGCACACGATGTCGAAGTCCTTAACGAGCCGACGAACTGCGCGCCGCTGGTGTGTCCCGAAACGACGGAACGGGCGCCCAGTGCTTTTTCAAAAGTTGATGGCGACATGGCCTGATTGTGGCGGGGATCTCAAACAAATACTGTAGATTCCTATATATGCCAAGCGTTGTCTGCTCGTAACACTGTACTTCAAAGACAGGTTCGTCCACAGTTGGACGCTCCGACTGGAGATAGCCGAATGGGGAGATTACTAGCCAACGTCTTTACTCCTACAACGCCGAGACTCGCAGCATGACCGTTAGGGACAAGTTGGCTGTTTGGGGCACCAAGTGTGTGAATGTATGGTGGCACAAAGTTTAATCTCAACCGCAATTTACTACGAACGGAATACCTCGGTCAGTTCAGCCGCCGGAAACACATGTAACACTAATGGACGAGAACTGTCGTTCAAAATAGATTCATACACAACTGGTGCTTCCAACAAATGACTGGTAGACTCTTCCTTCCCTGCGGAATGCCGATATAGTATCAACATGCTGAGTGCAGCGTGTAAGGGACTACCTTGAGTGTAGCCTACAGACCATTACGATCGAGAAGCTAACCAGTCGGCATTGGCATACTCCATTGTCATGTTACCGTAGACGCCCTCAAATGGGAGCAATTTTAGTGAAAACAACGTAGTAGTTTCGACTGAAGGACACAAAAGTAAAATGACCAAATCAACATGAGCTGCGACGGTACAGCAGATGGAACTGTTAAAAAAACACATAAGTTCCACCACGGTGGCCCCATCAAATATCGATATCTGCTGCATGCAAAACACAATATCACAACACGTTCAAACAGCTTTCGACATTTCTCTAGAACCTAGACTTGGATTGGTTTCCTTTCGACAACTGATCTGACGTCTCATCATCCGAGGCAAGTCGCAACGGGGACGGACGAATTGCCACGTTAGCTGGACATAGACTGTGAACGGTTCTCTGCTGACCATGAGAACTGGATGAAACAGTCCGGTTTTACGGCAATATCTTGTGAAGACCAGAGTGTGTGAAGTTCAGAAGCGTCAAAGCACTTAATGGTGGTTGCGGCGCAGGGGATGAAATAGATACAAAGAGAGACTGACATTGTAGTTCAGAGTAAGTAGAAAGGTTTTCGTACAACTATCGAAGTATGAAACACCAAAAACATTTAGCTGTGAATCGTTAGCGGTTGCGTTTGGTCAGTTAACCGTTTATCCTTCTTGGTTAAGAATTCATATTGATGTCATTATTTCTGGATATACCATGTCTTCTTTTGGCATTGTATGTGCATCGTTGCACAAAAGCATAGGTTTCCGAAATAATCGTCGATACGTGTTTTAAAACACTTCACAGAATCGGCCTCTCTTAATCCTCCTGGTAGTGTATTCCATAAGTTTACGCGCGGCATCACGTTCACCTTTAAAGTACGCCACTGGAAACAGAGAATTCCCACTTTCGAAGAAGAGATAGCATTCGAATCATCATCTTATCGTGATCGCTGGATTGTATAAGTAGAAAAACGAGATAGCCCTACTAAACCTCAGTAGTCGTGGTGAAACTACTCGACAAGTGCACGGGAGCATAAGGCTTTATTGTTAGAAAGATGAACCCGGGTGGTGCGTCCGTCGTTCACCGGCAGGCAGAACCAAGCGTAGTTGCGGTCAGTGAACTTGGCTCGACGTTAGTGTATATTAAAAAATGAAACAGACTCCGGTCAGTTGAATATAGGCATAATGTATTTATAGTAGGAGAATACAAAGCGGATATCGGTGTGAACATAGGCATGTCTCTGTGTCGAAAAAGGATCAAGAAGTCTGTTATAAAGGACAAAAATGGTGTAAAAGTTGGCGAAAGAACGTATAAGAGAAGTGAAAATGGGGTGGGTGATGCGGCGACGCACCCAAATATACACGCACCAGTCACTTTTCAGCAAATATGTGTATAAGAGGCACGCGTATACAGATGAATCCCTATATGTACAGTGAAACAGTTTGGGTAGAACAGCACATTTTGACATCACATCAAATTCTGAGAAAAGGACAAGGGTTGGCAGGACCCAAAAATGTTCACATTGTGTTGAATGTCCGGGGAACAACAGTACCACAATTCGCATGTCACAAAATACACTGATCAGTCTGTACACGAGAGGAAGGAGAGTGGGGAATCGCGATGAGTCCAGCGCGTGAGAGCACGCCGCGCATCTCGGATGAGATGGTGAACACTTAGGCACATTCGGTCTCCGCATCACTTTGCGCATAAATGTCAGACTCCAGTTCCGCTGATTCATCGGAGTCTGAACATCCGTTTTCGATCAATATGAAATTGGAGTCCGCTACTGGAGGGTGGTCGCGTTTAGGATGCAAGGCATGCCAGATGGACATTAGCTGTGATGGAGGGAACAAATCGCGAAGCTCAGCAAACGCAGCACTCATTCGGCCACTAAATTTGTTTGCCTCCGACGCAGTCATGTCAGCCCCCTCAACGTCGAATGAACGGCTGGGCCGATCACGGGTATCTGATGGAGCAGATAGCTGTGAAGACATCCACTGCACCCGTTCTGTGTCCAAGAAGCCGGCCTGTAAAGCGAAGTCAATGACGACTCGGTAGCAAAACACGTATTGGGCGGCAACCTGAACACACCCGTACCGCTGTGAGCGGATCCGGTTGACGGTCAGTGGTATGTTGATACGGTGATCAGAGCAGTCAGGATCCGCCAGCCACTTGGTACAAATGTCCGCTGTGACGTAGGTGCCTAGCGATAAATGCAATGATGGAGAGAGTGTGTGAAGGAACAACGGAGACTCAGCGGAAGAGATTACAAGAATAGTAACTAAGAACCGTCGCGTTATCAAGGGGGAGGATGATGAAACAGTAAGCGTAACATGATGACTTCGACCCTATGTGAATGGATGCAGGACCAAGTGACTAGTACAAAAATTTCGGGAGCAAAAATATCGTTAGGAGACCTGTTAAGCCTACTGTCACCAACACGGCTCTGTATTAATCAGAAAAGGAGTGAGGATATGAGTAAAAAAAGCTAACGGATAAATGCAATGTCCACAAGGGATCGAAATGGGATGTAGAAGGAATAAGTAATATCCAAAACGACGCTGTAAGATCGGTACTCTTCTCTAGAACACGCCAGTAATGCCCAACCTTCCAGCTTGGTTAGTAGATCGAAATAGTGTCCTAACGGCTTGCAAGCACAGATACAAGACAACAGCTGAGGAAAGCAGAGACCAGGAACAGACCACTGACCGCAGTATGTTGAGATTCAGTCTCCGATAGCTTGTACGCCACTGCGACAGAGAAAACAGGATCACTCAGAGTAATTGATTTTCAAACTTAGTCCACCGACTAATCAGCAGCATTATGAGCAGAAAAGACAGAGTAGCAGGTGTGAGCCAGCGTCCACTGACTGTAGCGTAGAGCACAAGGACCCGGTCTATACAAAACATTGGGGCGCCGTCACCAGTCTCTCGTCAGCGAAAGAAAATGCGCGCTGTTGGTGAATCCCGTAAGAGCTAACCGGCAGAGCAACATTTATTCGGATGTCGATGGATGATAACTAGGTACCATGGCAGTATATTCCATTCAAAACATGATGCTGTGGAGACGAAAATTGGATGTTTGTTGACAGACACAAGGTCACGGAATAAAGACTGCGGTGAGATGTCAGAGTGCACCGGTATTCCGTACCGATACTCCGCTGCCACGCAAAAATGTGAGTAATTGTTTGCAGACCGAGTCAACCCGATCTGTCTCCCACCGATGGACCGAGCTCATAATGCTACGATGCGAGCAGTCCTATTCTATGGTTTGGAAACTTGATCTGTTCAAGCCCAAGGTGTTCAGAGGAAGTCTGTTTTTGAACACCGATGACTATGGAGCATTGCTGATGTGCGATAACAGCATCCCGTCAGTAATGATGATGTCCGTCGAAAGATTTCCAAATCGGATAGACTGTGCCGACCGCTGAACTGCGTTAATTAACTACACAAACTTCAGTGGCTAGGGTCTATGGTTCTGTGACTGGCCACAGTGACAGGCAAACCCGAAACCGGATGCCGCCAAACATATATATATATATATATATATATATATATATGGGCAGTAAAACCGCCGTAAGTTGATCACTCAAGAGAGTGGACCAAAGTAAACAGCATACAGTACTCTGGATCCATATGGTTTACATGGTGAACGTCAAATCAATGAAAAACCCGGTCAACTTAGAAAGGCGGTCTCAAATGTATACATACAAAAAGAATAGCCACAGGATTGTTAGTTGCACAAACTCGCCATTTGATGCTGAGTTGGGAGACGCAGATGATTTCCTAAGCCAGAGCTTGCGCAGTGGGCTGGCATGAGAAGCCCGGTTGGAAGTAAAGCAAGTTGAAAACCATCTCGACTGAACTAAACAAACCTGCAGTAGGAGTAAAGGTGGTAGAAATGTCCTCCTAGTCCGCACTTTGCCTTTGACCACCAGTTGAAACACGATGTGAGTTTTTTCATCTTATTTCACCACAGCTCACTTCAATTAAGGATGACCCGAATTAGAGTAAACTGATCGTGCTGAAGCGCTTAGGTTAGTGTCTAAAACCGAACGAAAATGTTGTCTTTATAGGGTGAAAACTTTCGAGGTAAGAGTTGAACGGTGATGGGTCAATGTAATTGGAACAGGGATTCACGCAGTGGAGTAGAGTGTGTAGTTATCGCGATCAACAGAACCGTATTCACCAAGGTAGATGTTGTCCAAAAATGTCACGTTCGCGCAAAATGTGCAGCTAGTTTGCAATTGATGGTGACTCAGATGTTCTGGCCCAACAACGCACACAGCGGGAGAATGGAGTGCACACCGGATGTAGGAAGTGTCTACAGATTAATCACCACGAAACGGATTGGTATCATTGGGTTGATTGACATTAGTGTTGACAGCGGAAAAGCAGTCCGCAGTCGGTGTATTATTAGACGAGCGGAATCAAAGTTTGTTGTGCGGTGTCTAAAGTTTGCGAAAAAACGTGATGCGGTTAACAGATTCCGTGGCGGTTTCTTGGAGAAAGGATGAGCCGACGCAAGCAGGCATGCACATGGACAAGAAAAAGTGGAGGGTGGAACTTCTTAGAATGAAAGAAGTTGATGTATCGCAGACGAAATTAGAGTGAGGTGGATGCGCGCGCACACGCAGTAGACAATAACTTTCGAGTCTCTATCAAAGAGAGTGGCGCTGCGGGACTCGCGCAAAATCAAGCATGGTAAAAAATCGAGGGACTTAATAAGCAAGCTAAGAACAATGAAACGATTGGACGCCGCATATTTAAATAAGTGCTCAGGTCATGGCCACTGAGATGGGGGTATACGGTCGTTGATACAATTAGCAAAGATCAAGTCCGACTGAATATCGAGCGCCGTAAAGAGCAAACGGGCTGTGATGAGAGCGTCCTATCAGAGTGCACAGACAGCTCCAATGAGCAGGCCGAACAACCAATGGAAGATGAATGTAACAGATTGAACGCTGATCGGCTAATGTCTGTGTGCAATACCATGAGTTCCTCATCGGTTGGTTAGTTGAGCCAAAGATCGTTTATGAATATGCACGAACAATGTTTCGATGCATTAGGTGTGTCAAGAGTGTTAAAATTTTTGCAGATTTCGTTAGATAAGCGCTTCTCCAGGAAGAAACAACTTTCACAACACGAGCCAGAGGGAAGCTTGGTTTGTGTATGTGTGTGTGTTCACGAATCATTGACAACTAGATAGTGAAGTCAATTTTGCGGTCATCCCCAAGTTATGGTGGACAATAACTCCGAATGACCGGAATCGGAGCAATATGTGAAACAGTGTGTTGTGTTTCCGCTGACAGTACGGATAACCGATGCAGCCACACTGGTCACGAAACAGCACGCAGACATCCGTGGTTTCACATCCTTCCGTGTAGCGGCTGTGGGAGCTAAATATTGCCGGTGTACCATGAGTTTATTCGCTAGCATTTTGCTTCTAACGCAAACGCTAAGGGATAGTAGTAGATAGATCTGAGGTGAGGTGATCTGTGTGGTTAGGAACTGCGGAACCGTTGTAAACCTTCAATCATTCGCTATTGACTGTAGAGCAACTGCACATCAGAAAAAGACGGTTCTAATTCAAAGGAAGTAACGCAAGTATGTAAGAAGCGAGTAGAGCGGATCAGGAGTCATGTTGGTAGTAAATGAGTTCTTCTGTAAAGCTGCGGCTACTTCTAAGAAATCGGTCGTCTGGAGAAAGTCAGGCAAAGGCGGATTCTTCGTATTCCGGAGGATGAGAAGAAACTGCACTAATCTACGATTCCAAGTAAAGGACAATGAAACAGCGGCTTGCGCACATCACAACGTCCCAGGCCTCTCAGAGGATTTGATCGATTTAGTGGACGATATTGTTCAATACGGCTCATTTGTACGGATTATTACACTCGCGTCTCATCTCAAAGCAGATGTGATTTCGATTTGTTCAAGCGCTTTGCCACCTGCTCACTGTGCTATAAAAGCAACCGCCAGATTTTCTTGGACTTCCACATCAACTCAATTAGGAGGCAAAATGCGATTCAACTGGAGCAAAATGACTCAAACCAGCATGTGGCTGCAACACAGAAGGTGCCAAAATAAACGTCAATGACTGTGGACGAAAAGAGGTTCGTCTGTAAGAAGTGAACATTGGGCAGGTGATGTTGCAGGTGGCTTTCGCATAAGGTTCAGCTTAGCGACGCGGATCCGAAGGGATAAATCTGGTGGATCGGATCACTCTGTGACATTTAACATGACATGAAAAGAAAGATGATTAATATTAGTGAGAGAAAGTGAAGAAATCAGACGAAATCAATTGTAATTAATTGGGGAGTAACAGAACCACTGAATGGAAACTGCAAAATGTCAGTTGCGCCAATCACTAAACACCTAATCGGCACAGGTCATCATCTTGACCATGACTTGCCGTTTACGGTCCTCTATCGGAATACAAAGATCAGAATATGCAAACTCGCTACCACCGTGTCCATTAATCGCAATCGTCCGGATATTTGTGTTCAAAAGCAGCTGTTATTCCAAACTCGTTTGGAGAGCGCAACCCTCGTCCACAACTTGTACCTGCATGCAACCTACTTTCCGACTGAGGTAATTGGTTTCTTCTCTGGTGATCTCTAAATACATTGTTAGTTTGAGAGTGATCAATTAATCAGGAATATGCTCATTCTGCAACGCGTGCCTAGTTTGAAAAAAAGCAACCGTTTGAGTAAAGGCCAAAAGGTGAGACTGGCACAGATTTTTCAGGTACATTACCATTAATCCCATGACGTGAACCACTCTCCACTGGTCTGTTCCTTTGTGATCGTCTAATGTGTAAGCAGATGGTCTTGGATAAGCCTCATCCCAACTGGTGTCTAATGCTGAATCGCATGGGCTGAGATGTGCGACAAACACGACCTAATCGAGGGTATAAGTGAAGCAATTAAATCGGACGGCTCAAAGAAATGGACGAGTCTAAACCATGTGCATACACTCTCGAATAGGCGCTTTGGACGCACTCGGCAGACCGGTGATCGAGTCATACATATGTTTGGTTTGTAACCCACAGGTCCCAGGTTCGAGTGTGCATAGGAGCGGGTGACCCCGTTGTGTCTCTAGACTGAGCCCGACTGGTGGTAGTTTTCTGGTAGCAAAGCGTCGATAAAAAGTAAACAGGTGTTGTGAATAGCTTTCTCTAGATTTCTCAACTCAACGTGACATTACCCGAGTGAGTGCATCACAATTACACAATAGGTGAAGCCGGAATTAGCTAATGACATGAAAATTCAAGTCACACTGAAAGAACACAATTAAATAGTGCACAAACCATACATGAGCCCGAATTATCGTCCCGAAACCCTCTATACAAGGCGCATCGGTGAAGGAATACGATGCAATGAAGGAATAACAGATTACAAAAAGTAGGGACAAACCAACCTGTGCGGCCGATTCCAGCGCTGCAGTGAACTACCACAGGAGGCGGAGGAACCTTCTGATCCATAAAAGATGTGTAACCAAGAGGGAGGATAGCGTTCAGATAGGATTGCTGCACGGAGGAAAGAAGTTTCAACAATCCCTCGGTGGTCTGGGGAACACCGTGGTCGGGCCAAGAGGAGAACGAGAAATGTTTCACAATTCGTCGATGGCCCGTCTGAGAGTAATCAAAAGAAAAGAGGGAACACATTAAGAATGCACAACAAAGCAGAAGTTTGACGGAAACGGGGACAAGTGCAAGGAATGGAAGAAGAGAAGTTGGCATGCATCGCCGGAGACAGTGTGGTTCCAAACGATAAAAAAGGATCAACAACCAGGTGAGTATCAGGGAAGGTGGGGGGGGTGCTAAAGAAATAGGAGGAACACTTCCGAGGCGGGAACGCTAGGCGTAGCGTCCACATTGTTTGGTCTGCTCATCGGAAAATATGGAAACCTAGTCCCACGACAGGATGATACTCCAACAAGGTCTAAAGAAAACGCATAAAAGAGATAACATGACCAGATGATAGCACCCCAAATGGTTTAGGACGATCCACTGCTCCGCTTTTCTCGGGATAAAGGTTCCATAAAAATGATCAACTTTCTTCGAGGTGCAAAAGGAAGCAAAGAGGGGTGAATAATAAGCTACAACACACACTTTCGGTAGTGAAAAACGTATGCTGTGAGTAAAGTACTTTAGAAGAGACAAGTGTCAAAAGTGCGGAAGAGCGTCAGCATTAGTCAATTTTTGAGTGAACAGTTGTAGGTTAGGCAAGAAACGAGCTTCCCAGCAGTATACGAGCAACTCTGAGCCTGAGTGGGGGAGTATGCGGTCTTACACCATAGTCCGGTCAAGAACACGTCAAGAGAAAGTGATGATTTTCAGTGTTTTTCGTATGAGGCCGGTGGCCGAGTGGCCTGCGCACCTGGTTTGCAACCATAAGATTACCGCTTAGGAGTGAATGTCGTCGCGGTATACTCAGCCCTCGCGCGACTTGTGGTGGTCGCGCGGCAGCGAAGTGCCAATACGCAGTACAGCTGGCGATTGTTTCTTTGTTTGACTGAAATGGGCGAAGTTGAGTTTAAAGTGAATTGTGGCTCAAATTGAGATTGCATATCGAAGTTCAAACAAACTGAGTGTACACCGGCGTTCAAACGGGAACCCGGTAATATAATAGGAACACTAGGTAGGTCAGTAAAAATTACAAGAGAGTAGTGGGCCTAACGGAACGGAACACAAAATGGCGCCATATCGCGGAGCAAAACCGCGGGAAAAAGAAGAAGGAAGGGAAAAAGCAAGTTTGAGTGAGTTTTAGTTAACTGACTGGCTCACCGTATGGACAGTTGAAATAAGCACCGATGAGGTGTTAGTAACGAGAATATGGTGCGCTGAGGCTGCATTTCAGATGTACATTTAATCGAAGGCTTTGGCTGAGGACCCGAGTCGTTCTCCTGTCACGTGTGGGCGCTCTGTCAGTATCCTAGTCTATCCTCTTCGGAGGTTAGGAAGTGGTCAATGGCCCTCTTCCAGTAAAACCTATCCATTGGAGACAACAGGTCTACGGGTTATAAGCTCACAGCTCAACTGGCGTAGAGCACGAGCGCTACACATTGTCTCTGACGGTGGGATGACACCTCCGGGTGTTCAATGGTTTGCTACTGCCCGCCTCAAGCCAGGCAGCCCCTGGTAAAATTGGTGCAAACCCGCCAAAAACCCACCTGCGTCTGGCCGTGGTCACAGGTGCTTATCCTACTACGGTCGCAAAACATATATGAATCGTTCCAGTACCTCAAAGACTGCATGTGACGGCAGTCAAGCAGATCCTAATCTGTTTCTGCAATCACATTCGTGAGCTGGATCTGCTCCCCACTGCCTTGTGGGTCAGGTCTATTGAGCCAAAGGCTCCAGGTGGAGTCCCTCAAGCAAACCTCAAAAGCACAACGATCACATCGCCTGCGATTGCCCACCAATGCAATCGCATGCCTGCGCGCAAAGCACTCAGCATTGGGTGCTGAAACGTGCGCACACTATATATATATATATATATATATATATATATATATATATATATATATATATATATATATATATATATATATGGCTGGCGGCATCCGGTTTCGGATTTGCCTGTCACTGTGGCAAGCCACAGGACGCCTGCGCCTACAGAGGGACCATGGATGGCTTGCGCTGCACCACCCACAGTTCCAACCACACACCCCATATCCAGTGTAAACCCGAAGGAATAAGACCGGGAGGCATGCGGATGGGAACCACGTTACATCAACGGAGCCGGCCCACACTCCTTCACAGGCAAACACAAGCACACTGTATTTGGGAATCAAGCGAACACAAGGCGGTGGCTGAACCGTAGTCCGCTCCGCACTGAGTGCATGGAACCACTCTTCGAGCCTAACACGGCCACAAGGACCGTGCACCCTGTCCCCTCCAGCAACGACCAACTGTCTCCTGGAGCCAGTATGGACGAGGTAGTGGGTAATGGACAGGCAGGCACCTTGTCAACATGCACATCAAGCGCAGCCACACATGCGTTATCAAACAACAGCCAAACACTAGAGAGAGAGAGAAAGAAAAAGAGAAAAACTCGATTAATGCATAAGGAAACGGTGATATAAACCTTAAGTAAATAGCATATGTAATAAGTTGTTTACAAACAAATCCTAGCTAAGTGCACGAGGTCAGGAAGTATAGTTCACGGAATGCCACGAACACAAAAATGTTATGGAAATCGAATACAATTGGCTGAAGCGATGTGTGCAAGTTAATGGAATAGAGTACAGGGAGATATTTATATGAGAAAGAAAAGCATTAAGGTAAAAACTGTAAACCCACCACCTGAAATAAAGAGACTTAGCATGCAAGCACGCGGTTAGTAAATCGAATTCAGCGTGCCTACAAACGCTGCGCCGGCTCGCCGTAATTCTCTGCAGGACCCGTCGTCGCTTCTGTAGTGGCCCCAAATGGCACAGCTCATGGCCCACTAGACATTTATATGAGAAAGAAAGGCATTAGGAGAGAACCGAAAACCCACTGCCTTGTGGGTCAGGCTATTGAGCCAAAGGCTCCGGATGGAGTCCCTCAAGCAAACCTCCGAAGCACAACGACCACCTGGAGTGCGATTGCCCACCAATGCAATCGTATGCCTGCGCGCAAAGCACTCAGCATCGGGTGCTGGAACGTGCGCACACTACTGGACCGGAACTCCAGCGAGCGTCCGGAGCGACGCACTGCACTGGTCGCGATGGAGCTGGCGCGCTACCACATCGATATTGCGGCGCTCAGTGAAACTCGGCTCGCTGAGTAAGGTAAGTTACATGAAGCAGGTGCTGGCTACACATTCTACTGGGTGGGGAACGCCGCCTCAGCACCACGTGAACATGGGGTCGGATTTGCAATATCCGATCGCCTGAATGGCCAGCTGGTGGGTGAACCAACGGGCATCAGCGCGCGACTGACGACTGTTCGCCTACGACTCGGAAGAGGTAAGTTTGCTACTTTTATAAGCACGTACGGTCTGACCATGTGTTATCCTGATGACACGCGTGATCAGTTCTACACTGAGCTATCCTCCGTGATACGGTCTGTGCCGAAGAGCGACCGACTATTTCTGCTGGGTGATTTCAACGCGCGCTTTGGGCGTGATGCATCGGTGTGGACAGATGTTATCGGTTCGCATGGCATTGGTTCAGCGAATGCGAACGGTGACAGGCTGCTCTCACTGTGTGCCACTCACGGCCTGACGATCACGAACACTCGGTTTGCACTGAGTACGAGTGATACAGCAACTTGGACGCACCCACGGAGTGGTCATGCTCATCTGCTCGACTATGTCATCGTACGTCAGCGTGATATGCATGAAGTGCGCATGACACGTGTACTGCGTGGAGCTGAGTGTGGCACTGATCACAAATTGGTTCGGACCAAACTGTACATATATTTTCGTAAACCTATGTATTGCACTCCCGCCGTGAATCGGCGTAAATTTAACATTCTCTCCCTCGGTACTGTGGCGAAACGTACTGAGCTGGAGAAGGCGATGACTGCATGCCTGTGTGATGTGGACTGCATAGCCACAGTGGGCGACCTGTGGCACCACATTCGCGACCAGGTGACAGCTGCTGCCGAGGAGACCATCGGGCGCGCAAACTGTAAACGGCCTGATTGTCTTGATGAGAACAATGCGACGATTGGCGCATTGGTGTCAGAGAAGAATGCAGCATTTGCTGCACATGTGGCAGACAACAGTGACTTGGGGAAGAAGAGTCAGTTTCGCAAACTTCGACGGCGACTGACCCGAGAGCTCCGTCGCATTAAAAATGCATGGTGGACGGAGAAGACGAAGCAGATGGAATGCTACGCCGAACGCCGTCAACACAAGGAATTCTTTGACTCCTTGAAGGCGGTGTATGGACCGAGATTGGAGCCGCTGAGGACACTGATCGATGGTAGTTCAGGCGCTACCTACACACAGACTGCAGACATAATGCAGGTCTGGCGGAAACACTTTGACTGTCTCTTGAACAACCGTTCAGAGATCGACTGGCCTACATTGAATGGCCTGAAGCAGCACGATGTGAAGGCGGATCTGGCAGATACGCCGAGACTGGATGAGACGCAGAGAGCACTTGCTCAGCTGCGAAACGGCAAATGTGCCGGAGCCGACGGGATCCCACCTGAAGTATTGAAACACGGTGGACCCGCGTTGTTGACTGCGCTGCACCACTTGGTGCAACGCGTGTGGATTGAGGAGGAGGTGCCTCCTGAGCTGAAGGATGCCCTTGTGCTACCACTGTACAAGGGCAAAGGTAGCAAGCAATGTTGCACGAATTATCGTGGCATCCACTTGCTGAGTTGTGTGGGCAAGGTGATTGCCCGAATCCTGCTCAATCGCCTCGTGAGTCAGGTTGTGGAACCTAATGTGGCGGAAGAGCAATGTGGATTCCGTTCGGGTCGCAGCACTATAGATATGGTGTTTGCGGCTCATCAGTTGCAAGAGAAGTGCAGAGAACGACACCAGCCATTGTACTCGCTTTTTGTTGATTTCACCAAGGCATTTGATACGGTGAACCGCGAGGCATTGTGGCTGGTGTTGGGTAAGTTTGGTTGCCCGCGTAAGTTTGTAAGTTTAATTGAATGTCTGCACAGTGGTATGCGAGCGCGGGTGCAGCTGAGTGGAGAGACCTCTGATGACTTTGCAGTTGTCGCTGGTGTGAAGCAAGGCTGTGTCTTAGCTCCTGCCCTATTTAATATCTATCTTCATGCAATGTTGTCTTGTGCTTTTGATGCCGCTTGTGCTTACGGTGTTCGTGTGGAGCACCGTATTGATGGTGGGTTGCTGAACATCCGTCGTTTCGATGCGAGAACTCTAGTCTGTGAGACAACTATCCGTATGTTGCTGTTTGCTGACGACTGTGCGTTGTTTTCACACAGCGCGGATGAGTTGCAGCACATGACTAGTGCTCTGGCTTCGACAGCGGCAAAATTCGGGCTCACCATCAACACAAGTAAAACTGTCTGTCTCTTTCAGCCTTCACCGGAGATGCAATCTTCAATATTGCCGCAAATCAGCATTGGTGCTGAAGTATTGTAAACCACCTCCCGCTTCTGCTACCTAGGGAGTGTGATGTCGACTGATCAGCAGCTACACGTTGAGTTGCGTATTCGCGTGTCGAAGGCGACAGCGGCATTCGAGAAGCTTGAGTACCGAGTGTGGAACAACCATCAGCTTACCATTGGCACGAAGCTGATGGTGTACAAATCCATGGTACTGTCCATTCTTCTATACGGCAGTGAAACGTGGACGATGTACCGTCGGGATGTGCGATATCTCGAGCGGTTCCATCAGCAGTGTCTGCGACGAATTTTGCGCATAAGTTGGGGCGCCAGAGTCGCAGACACGGAAGTGTTAAGCCGAAGTGGGATGTATGCAGTGGACTGCATACTTTTACTGCGACACCTGAGATGGTTCGGTCATGTGAGCCGTATGGATTCGGCGCGAATACCGAGACAACTTTTACACGGTCAGCTGAGTATAGGGAAGCGGCATGCTGGGAAACCAAAGTTACGTTACCAGGACATGATTAAAGTGAGCCTCACACGTTCTAATCTTGATTGCAGATCATGGGAATCGAAGGCGGTTGATCGTGGTGCATGGCGCGATCTATTCACGAAGGCAGTTTCTGAAGTGCGGGAGAAAGCCCTCATGCATGCAGAGAAGAAGCGGCAAGTGCGGAAGCGGCAAGCACCAATGAATTGTACTCCATCGACATCGAGCGCATGGTGCTGTAGAACATGCGGCCGCGAGTGCCTTAGTCAGGCAGGCTTAGTGAGCCATGAGAGAGGTCACTCGGGACCACTGCCGAAGCGACGACGGGTCCCGCAGTGAACGTAGGCAGAACCGGCGCAGCGTTTGTAGGCACGCTGAATTCGATTTACTAACCGCGTGCTTGCATGCTAGGTCACTTTATTTCAGGTGGTGGGTTTTGGGTTCTCTTCTAATGCCTTTCTTTCTCATATAGATGTCTAGTGGGCCATGAGCTGTGCCATTTGGGGCCACTACAGAAGCGACGACGGGTCCTGCAGAGAATTACGGCGAGCCGGCGCAGCGTTTGTAGGCACGCTGAATTCGATTTACTAACCGCGTGCTTGCATGCTAAGTCTCTTTATTTCAGGTGGTAGGTTTACAGTTTTTACCTTAATGCTTTTCTTGCTCATATAAATATCTCCCTGTACTCTATTCCATTAACTTGCACACATCGCTTCAGCCAATTGTATTCGATTTCCATAACATTTTTGTGTTCGTGGCATTCCGTGAACTATACTTCCTGACCTCGTGCACTTAGCTAGGATTTGTTTGTAAACAACTTATTACATATGCTATTTACTTAAGGTTTATATCACCGTTTCCTTATGCATTAATCGAGCTAATTACTTTGTCTCTCTCTCTCTCTCTCCCTCCCAAGTGATTGGCTGTTGTTTGATAACGCATGTGTGGCTGCGCTTGATGTGCATGTTGACAAGGTGCCTGCCTGTCCATTACCCACTACCTCGTCCATACTGGCTCCAGGAGACAGTTGGTCGTTGCTGGAGGGGACAGGGTGCACGGTCCTTGTGGCCGTGTTAGGCTCGAAGAGTGGTTCCATGCACTCAGTGCGGAGCGGACTACGGTTCAGCCACCGCCTTGTGTTCGCTTGATTCCCAAATACAGTGTGCTTGTGTTTGCCTGTGAAGGAGTGTGGGCCGACTCCGTTGATGAAACGTGACTCCTATCAACATGCCTCCCGGTCTTATTCCTTCGGGTTTACACTGGATATGGGGTGGGTGGTTGAAGCTGAGGGTGGTGCAGCGCAAGCCATTCATGGTCCCTCCGTAGGCGCAGGCGTCCTGTGGCTTGCCACAGTGACAGGCAAATCCGAAACCGGATGCCGCCAACCATATATGTATATATATGTCAAGATGCGTTGGGTTGCACAATCTGCAAGAACTGATTAGCGGTTAGCAGCTGAATGTCGGCCGAATGAGTGCAATAATCTTATTTGTGGTAACAATCGTGTGGAAAATGTCGGGTTATTAGTCGCTTACGATCAAAGCGAGAAGCGCTCAAAACATGGAAATGCCCGAGCGAATAAGTCGGAATTATTTGAGAGCATGAAGATACTAAATCGAGGTGGTTTTACGGAGTAAACAATTTTACGCACCTCGAGAACTAATCAAGAGAATCACGCGCACTGACGGCGCGGTACAACATTCAAAGTAACTAACAGACAATTGCTCTAGAAGACAAATAAAAGTTGTGGTTAAAAAACAACGAAATGACAGATAAGCGGATCGCATGGTGAAATTAATGTGCAGACATGGGTGAAAAAGCGAGAGCGAAAGTTGCAGCAAAAAGAGAAGGAAAATATGTGACGAAAATACACATAGGAACGAGACTTACCTTCAAATGCGTAAGCCGGAGAGTGCTACAGGTGAAGTACTCCTCGTCTTGATGACAGACGTTGCTGACTTCAAATTCAGGAACAGGAGTAGAAGAATCATCCGGAGAGGAAAGACATCCAGAGACACCAGCGTCTTCTGGGGGCGGTAATGTGCCTGGAAAGCCGCAGGTGAAATATAATCTTCTTTTGGGAGGTGGCCAATAGGGGAAACATTTCACACTGTCCGCTTCGTAGACCCTGAAGATGGAGATGGATAAGAGTTAGCAGTGCATACAGCACAAAAACCGTAGATTCAAGGGATGATTGGTGTATAGTAACAAACACTAGAGCGGATCGGAGACAAGAAGCAGGAGCTGGTTAGTCGAGAAAAAGTAAGACAAGACAGGTTGATCGCTAAAGTTTCAGATCGGAGACAACAGGAGGAACGTAAGGCAAAAACCAGTAAGACGGTAGAGAACAAAGCGATGATTCGACGAGTAAGGAGGTGTATCCGTCATACACCAGTGAAAGAGCCTAGGTGCTGTGAAAACAACTGGATATATACTTGTTCTTTCGAATTGAAAAGCGCCACCATGTGATACTATTTTCTCGAGGACGCTACTAGTACATCATACATTTACACAGAACTGTTAATTACGAGCAGTGTGTTACCCCCACCTATTCGTAAATAGCCATGTAATTCCACACGTCAGAGGCAATTTTAGTCTCATTTGATAGAACACTCCAGCGGCGTTCGAACCGGTTCTCATCCGTTCCAGTTCATCACTGTGGGAGAAGCTACGGAGTAAACTAAGTTTTCTTGCAACGAATCCTTATCAAACCCTTAGGCAAGTCTGGTTTGCCGACTAGCATATTGACCGTGGGCGATCAATAGGCCAAGCCACCACACACAGCCGCACTCTGACGACAAGCATCACGGTCATAACGGCGACAGGCATTGTGCAAACTTGTTTCAATTTGATAGCTGAGCACTGACATTAATCCCCGCCTATCCCAGCCTGCACTCTCAACTAGGCCTTACAGCTGTTGGATCGATAGACGTAGTCAACCAAATCGCCCCGCGGACTGAAAGACCGATCAGCACGCAGAATTAGAACGGTCAGTTTCTATCGTATTTCCACTAAGTAAATCAATGTAGGCTACTTTTTGAGTGTGCAATTCTATACTGCATACCACTGTCGACGATAGAACCCGATTTGCAACCAGTTCTAACTGCTAGCTCTACTAAAGTGCGAAATGTCGTAGTTATGACGAAAAATAAACAGGAATCAGCGGCGGTATACAGCGACAATGCCACCAAAACGAGAAGTGCCTCAGCTAAGATGACGAAAAAACAAGTAGCATTAGCTTTCTGCACTGAGAAGAGTTGAATTAGTACCTGAAATGCAAAGCCGCATCAATGCTCTTGAGGAAGAAGTTACCTCACCACAAACGGAACTGCTGCGCTTTGGCGCAAAATACAATCAAGTCTTGGCTTTCTGCGAATTACTTCAAGATTCAAAGGATGTGAACTTAGACACACTACAAAAGGCTGGCTCTAGTATCTCTTTAGTCACAAATGAGACTCAGGAAGGTTTACGTAGAGCAAAGAACGTGATTGTGTTTAACACACAATGAGGTCATGCTCCATACTCGTTAAATTCCCGGATGAGGCGATGGCTAAACAGTTTATACATAGAAAACGGTTCATAGCTACAAGAACGGATTTTAAAAAAGATTTTGGTCAGAAGCGATCAAATGCCACTACAAAGGCGGATCATTCAGACACTCGTCTTTCTTGCACAGACGCCAATCATACTGGCAACGGGGTGGACTTTGATAGATCACCAACATCGTCCTTATCTAAAGATACAAGCACCCAATCCACCAACCCACCCACGAGGTGATATTGCACGATAATGTTGACCCGATCTGGACAGAAGTTAGTGCCATATCATATGTCCTCTCTGCAAGCAACGATCCCATATATTATGTGGCACCAACTCAGAACCAAAACGCAAAGTGTGAAACTAATAATTTAAGAAATTTACCCCTTACTGATTATTACAACTATCCCACGTCCCAATTAAGCATAAATGATATCATAGAGCGCCGTATCACTAAAATATTTCATGGAAATGCCCAACAACGGATAACACCCAAACATTCTCCAACAGAATATAACAACAGCTCATTAGATCAGATGAGGAAAACTGTACGCTGTCGCATTTCAAGATTGGATGTTGGAACCGATTCTTGGGTCAATAATAGCCACTCGACCTATTATCAACCATCACAAAAGTTTTTGCTACTGACCTCTCCGAGCCGCAGAGATAGCGCAGTAACTCATGACGGACCCGAAGATACGTATAAAGGCATAGGGTCTCACACTTCTACTATCTCCCAATGGTAGCCAGAATTTCTAGTCTACCCACCACCGTCACTTCCTCCTACAAAATATGCTCACCACTTGCCAAGTGAGCCATTTTTAGGCTGACATCCGCCCCCAACAATAGGGCATCCACATTATACCATGCAAAACCCAATGACAATCACATTATTCAAGCATTTCTTTCGCTGGAGCCAGGACATCGTGGCGCACGACAAAGCCCAGTTGTTTCACCACGTCCATGAAGACAAATGTTGTGATATAACCAAATGTATGTATCCTATCTTATCCCTTTTATCAAAAATCCACTATTATAAATATTCGTTCGTTATTACCAATATTGGATAACCTTACAAAGTTTATGTGCCTTAAAACTCCTCACGTCGTTTGTATCACCGAAACATGATGCCCATCAGCTATATGTGCTTTTCAACTAGATATTTTGCGTTATTAACAGTTTTGTAAGGATCTTCTGCGGAAACGCGGCGGTGGATGTGCCATCTAGGTGCGCAAGGCATATCAGCAATCTCAGCTGACCAGTTAGCGATCAATGAATTGAATGATTCATTATGGTTGACTATGGCGGCCTATGATCTGCTACTGAGCTGTATTTATAGACCTCCTGATGACACCGTCCAAGAATCACAGCAGTTAAGGTCTGCTATTAAGGTTGCCTCAAGCGCTCCACACAAGTACAAATTTCTATGTGGAGATTTCAATATGGCAAATATGAATTGAATATCGCAAAGGCTTACAACAAATGGGGAACTTGCTGAAACGATACAATGTGCCTGCCTTGATCGTTAGACAACACGTTAAACAACCAACTAGGTTAGATAACATTCTAGGTCAGGTATTCACCATGGGTATTTCATCTGTTGATGTATTAATTGAAGGCCCATTAATAGGATGTGATAACAATACGGTGCTCTGCAGAATGAATAGCAGGCCATCTATAAAGTCTATAGATAGTAGGAAGCTAGTAACCCGAATACACTTTAGTGAATGGAGCACATTAGACAAGCTGCCTGGGGGCATGCATTGGGATCGATTCTTCTCCACATCAGATTCGGCCATAGCCGCATGGCGAATTAGCGAAAAATATCCTAACATGTACGGACATCCTAACACAGATCCCTTTGACAACCGACACAATAGCTCATCCAAGTTTGCTTTCAAACTTAAGAAGTTGAGATCACTGTACTGCAAAAACAAAGACATCACCACATCAATTCAAATACATGAAACCTTACAGAAACATGAACACAAAAATAAAGAGTCCAGGATTGCAGAGAAAACCTGAGCCATCACGAATACAGAGAAAGCTCCTGCCCTGATGCAACTACTCAGAAGAAGAAATCCGAAAAGACACCATAAAATTCCAAGCATAGTTTTAAAAGACAGTAGAGTAACAGACGACACAGTCCAAAGATGTGATTCGATGAATTCCTACTTTGCCGCCTCGTTTGCTACAGCGCCATCTGTATCCTCGCCTCTCCTTCCAAGAAAAACGCGAGGTATTATGTACTATTAGTTGGAAACTAAAGGACGCATAGCTAACTATATCATCTATCAAAGTGACTTTCCAACCGGGATCTGATGGTATTCCACCTGCAGCTATAAGGTTAGGTGGTAAAAACGTCTCTCTCCTCATGCTGTCTATTTGTACACTGTCACTAAACATTAATTGCTTCCCGCCTCAGTGGAGAAATGTCATAATTGTACCGAAACACAAAGGCGGTCCACGAGGTAGAATGTCAAATTATCGACCGATAAACCATACCTCCGCCGTTTCTGAATCCTAAGAGAGAATCCTCAAGACTCGGGTTACACAGTTCTTGACAAGACAAAACCTACGAGACGGTTCACAACAAAACGTTCTTGTGTCACAATCCAACTGCAATTCCTCGTTCATGTTACAGCAAAGTTAGATGACGTCATGGCCATTATCAGCATCCTTCTGGATATGGATAAAGCGTTTGACTGTGTACCGCATAAAACATTGTTGGCCGCTGTGGAGTCCTATGGAATTAGCAACTCTCTCTTGAGTTGGTTCGAATCATAACGGCCGAACACAAACGGTACAGATTGATCAATATTGTTCCACTACCAGAAATGTCACGAGCGGTGTTGTCCAGGGCAGTGTATTGGTCCCATTGCTTTTCTTCATTTAAATAATCACGGATGCCTATCCGTATTTGGGAATGATATCAAACTAGTGTACTCATTTCGACCAGACCATCTGGAACTGTGCTTAAATAATATGAGCGGGGACTTATCATCCGTAAACAAATGGAGCGAAAACAGCTCAATGAGGTTTTCCAGGGAGATAAATCTCATATACCCTGCTACAGATGAAGTATACCAGAAGGATGCATCACTTTCATCATTGGCATCCCCATCCCGACTGCATATTCCTTTCGAGACCTAGGAATTCAATATTCGAGCAGCTTCAACTTCTCCGAACATATCCTCCTACATACCAAATGGTGAAAGTGAAGCACTTAACGAGCTACATCACTTGTTCACTTTCACTATCCCAAACATGATATGAATCATTCAAATCTATTATGTGATCCACTCTAGAATATTGCACCATCATTCATAGTCACTTGCGTAAATCAGATAACATTATTTTGGAATACGTCCAGCGCAGTTTTGGCGAAATGCTCATGGGGCGCTCATCATTGCTTACCTATGAGGAGCGATGTCTACATCTGTAGTTCGATCCACTGTGGCTTCGACGGCTGAAAATAAATCGCACAGCATAATACACACACAGCACACAGCATATACAGCATAATATACTCGCGAGTTTGATCAACCAGCACAGCCGTCGCATTATATACTGGCTCAACCTATTCCACTCGTAATGGGAAATGTCCAGTATTCTTACGGAGGACCAAGAAAAATATTCGTATAAAATTCTTCTTGGTTAGGTACGCCCATCTGTGGAACAAACTCCCAATGCAATTAAGGATCTGCGAAAGCCTGCCCATTTTAAAACAAACTTAAAAACCATTCTTCCATGCCAAATGTGCTCAGCAAACTTTTTGATTTTCAACAATCCACGAGCGCGCTCATGGAATCGGGCCCGAACAATATAGGACAATATTAAGTGACAAATAATGCCACATATTATATAGCAACAAAACATTGCATAACTCTTCCAAAATGAATAGAGTTTATATATGAAATAAGAAGGAAACTCGCTGATCGTTCCACAAAAGGGAATGTATCATGCTTGTCGGGTAATGTACCCATTTATTTATTTATTTAACATTGTTCTGGAAACTTATGCCAGATGCGTAATATCCAAGCCTTAAAAGGGGTAAAAATTAGTGGTGATCCTAGTTCCGGTGACAGAATGTATCCTGAATGAAAGGGGGATGCTGGTACATGGTTCTAACGCGGACTAGGTGGAGTCGATACCACAGTCAGTTAGATGGTACACGACAGTCCCACCATCAACCCATGCATGCCCTCGACGCAGACCTGGACGAGGTGTTTCAAATTACAACAACGCTGATTGTACGCAAGTGAATCCACCAGGCCGAACGGATGAGTCGGACCGACCATAAAGACCATACGAACTACAAACACAGGAAAGAACAGCAAGGGATGATTGGGATTTCCACCAATAAATATAGAGAAGGGTAAAGTGCTAGGTGAAGGGGATATCATTAAGTTGGCGAAGCAGTTATCGAAAAGTCTACAATAGTCAGATGCTAACAAGACATGGAGAAATAGCGAACGTTATAACTTGAAAAGCAAGAAACTGCAAATCGGAACAGTATTAAAAACAGTGAGAATGCATAAAGAGACAGAGTGGACAAACTAAGTAGAACAATTATAAGTATACCGTGGCCAAAACAGCGCAATGCAAGGATTGACATCTGCAAGTTCAAAGGACCGTATGCATTCTCCTCAAAACTCTCCAGCTGCTGTTGCTGCGAACAATCGAGAAACTCCAGTGGACATAAGGATAATGTCACCAGCGAGTGTTGCGCCACACACTTCTACCCATACTTAACACATGCGGAGCTAACAAGAAGAAATAAGACGGAAAAGTAAGCACACTTGTCTCAATTTGCTTCTTATCGTAACTTTGTCGGATATGAGACAAAGGGTGCGGTTGCGATCATAACACACATCCATAAGGGTCTCTACATTCCACGACAGAGTATGTGAGGTTATACCCACCGACTGCTCTGGATTGGCGACAAAGAGGGACATGATGCACAACTCACTTGGCGATCATTGCAACTATCGGCACGTGGTAGTCCCAAATCATTTGCCAAAAGTCCCCAACGGTGGTGAACAACGGGCCTGTAGGAGCAAAAATGATGAGGAAACGGAACAGAGGTAGTGAACAGTGTAGGAATAAACGGGAAGCGATAGATGGCACGCACATTTCCCAGTGTATTCCATGAGACCGCAAATGAAGAGAGGACATGTAGTCTACATAGAGCGGTAAAGTGGACAATCTGAGCAGTTGGCTTACTGCTCAAAAGCAAGCAATAAGGGTGGCAACTGAGTTAAGGTAAACGTGTGTAGAAGTATCATAACATTGAGGGAGGAAAAGCACTGATAGGGAATACTGCACCTAGTCGCACAATTTGAGAGGTAGATAAGGGTATACCAACCGGACGCCTTCAAAGATAGCCAGCTATATATCACACTGGAAGATTGAGCACCGGTGTAAACGTTTTGATGGTGAACTCTGTAAACTTTAACGGCGTGCGTACCTGTTCCATTTCAGCAGTGGAAGCCACGGAGAAAGGACAAGTTCGAAATGGGCCAATAAGGGTTCAATATAGGTAATGGTCACTTTGATAATAAAAACGTGAAAGGAGCACCGAGTTAAGGCGGGTGTTATTTAGGAAGACGGAGAAAGAGACGATAGGGGTAGCTAGAGCCCGTACGGATGTCAAAGGATGATTGGTAGAAAAACCAATAAAGCGCTCCGCAGAAAAGTAGTCGAAGTAATCTTTCTGATCCACCGATACTTCCTTAGCTACTACAAGAAAGCTTATTGTTAGCGCTATCAGGTGACGGCTAGTGCCTTAGCGAATGATTCGTTCTCATAGAAGGAGAAAATAGTCAACCAAAATCAGAGGAAAAGAAAAAAATAATGGGCTAGAAACGATGGGGATCCAACCAGGTCCCAGGCGCTCACAATCCAAAGGTACAGTGTATATACATCGGAAACACAATCAGTAAAACCGTCCAGACAGCCTCACAAGGAATTCGAATGTGCAACCCTGTGACCAGTGCAGGCGGTACGAGCACATTTGGCGCAATCAAGTGGCGCCCAAGATGGCAAATAAACGCAGTGTACGGTGTCATCGAGTTATGGAAGGGTAAGTACGCCCACCAGCCGGGGGAAACCGGATGAGTCAGCAATCCCTAGGTATATCGTTGCGCCAGCGTGTATGTACCACAGACATGACTCCATTTTTGGGTTCAAGGTAAAATGCTCGTGAGAGTGTGCAGAGCAATCATATGGTCGAGTGTAGCAGTAACGGCTGCTACTAAAGTGAATTAGATTATCGCGGATATATATATATATATATATATATATATATATAGCCCTACGCGAATCGAGCTGTGAGCTTATAACCCGTAGACCTGTTGCCTCCCATGGCTAGGATTAAAAAAAGAGGGCCATAGACCTCGCCCCAACCTCTTATAAGGATAAGATTGTGAGACTGAGTTAGTCTGATCATTAATCATTGAGATATCTGGTATCAGCGCCTCTGAAGTCACTTGGAAAGTGCCAACCAATATAGCTCAATGGGTCAGGGGGTACGCAAACCATCACACCACGCCAAAGTCCAGTCACGTTGCGATGACTGCGATGTCCTCTACTTGAATACGTTGCTTCTACAATGGCATCAGGTAGGCTTAATTACTTATCATTGATCCAAACGATTGTTCCCAAGCCCCTTGGGTTGCCTCTGTACTTATGATATTATAATGCGAAGTGCATCAGAAAAGTTCTAGAACTGGTGATTCAAATGATCTAGTTCAAATCCAAACTGCACAGTAAAAATATTCCCTTGCAAAGTAATCCCCTGGATTCTGATGCACTTTCCCATTCTTCTCGCTTCTCTTGACTGGCCTCGCTGCTCTATTTAACACGAGTTTCAATACTGAAGAGATGATTTCAGACTGGCAACTATCAACTGTCGTGCCCATTTTCAAGAAGGGTCACCGTACCTTGTGCGAAAATCATCGAGGCATCAATCTCGCTTCTATTTCTGCCAAGCCTCTCGCGGATATCATTCTCTGACGACTTACTGGTCCCCGTGAGAACAGAATCACTGAAAGCCAGAATGGCTTCCGCCCTGGTCGGGATAACATCGACCACATATTTACTCTTCACCAAGTGTTGGAGCAGAAAGGTAGGCTGCATAATGCTGTGATAAGGCAAATCTTACCATATGGAGCAGAGATGGGGCCAGTTCGCAGTGAAGAGATTAAACGCTTGACCGTGTTTGACTACCGGTGCTTGCGGAACATTACTCCCGTCTAGTAGGAACACCAGGTGAGCAATGCTGAGGTCCGTTAGTTGGTTTTTGGCAAGAAGCCTTCTATTGCCTCACTCGAGTACTTGCTGGATCTAGATCGCTCACGTTCGCTAGGTCATGTCTTCCGTATGTCCGTTGACCGGTTTCCTCTTTGTGCATTATACGCTGTTGCTGCACCAAGATGGGCGCAACCACGAGGTGGCCAGGAGTATGGAGAAATTGACTGAGGCTTGGTCAGGGGTGCGTGTCGTCTTCGTGGATGGGGGGGGGGGGCACGGGATGGCCCACACGAATGGTTGGAGACCGTATCAGACATGGCGCAGTCACGCAGCCATTGGCGTCCCTGCATTCGATTTCTTGCATTTGGTTGCTAATTTTCGTTCCTTCCTACTTAGTTTAATGCACATCCTCCTTGCTTCCATTTTCTTTACGTCCAATTAGCCTTTAACCCAACTATCTTGCCGTTGTAGTTTGTTATTATTCTTGCGATAAGAGTCGTGGCAACTGCATCCACCGCACTTCGGTGGTCGGATCATAGTTGCTCAACCGAAGTGAACTGAAGTGACAGCCAGTCGATAGGAAAGCAACTCGGATGACTAAGTGCAGGTTCATATGAAAGAACCGGTGTGTGAATTGGTTGTAACACACAAGTTTAAATAGAGCCGCGATCGGCTTTGGGGTGGACGGCGCGTCGCAATCTACTCACTTGGCGGGTACTGCAAATGGGCTAACAATGACCGTTGTGAGAAGTACTGTCCACCACGGCTCCGCGACGCGGGGCGAAAGTGGTTAACAGGTAGTTCACAGGTCCCGGGTTCGTGTTTCAGAAAACCGGCCGGAGTACAACGTTGCTAGCGGGAGCAGTCAACATGAACCCGTCCTGGTGACTGCTTCGCCTTAATAACAAATCATAAATGCGTATGGTCACGCTGCCGTAAATGCCCGTTAACAAACATCTTGGGAGAGTGGAACCGAGCCCAGACAAACCAAGATGACAGCGAAAGTAATTATCCAACGAAAAGCAACCGAATCCCGTCCATTCTTGCCCTGGACCATGACCCGTCGTCCAGGAGACTCGATCAACTACCTGATGGCTACGGAAGTCAAGTCGTATATCAAGTGTTGTGCCTAACAGAAACGAGAAGCACTCCATAAAGAGCATTCAAAAGAAAGAGACGACCTTCCATCCTATCGCGTATGATGAAATGAACAGAATTCCTGGAAGAAACGACTTTCGTTATCAAAGGGATCAGGAGAAAAGGGGAGAAATACCATACCAAAACGAATACTCCAATAAACAGTAGCCGCCATATTGTGTTAGATATATATCGCCGGCTCGTAGGCTTAAGGATCGTAAGCCTGCCTTGTAAGTTGAAGCATGCGGACTCTACTATGCGTAAGAACCGAGCGATCCTCGCAGCATCCTTAGTCCAAGTGCAACTGGTGGTGGTTGCGCGGCATCAAAGCGTCGATACTACGTACCGCCGTACTGCTGATACGTTTCTTTTTCAGATATATTTCATCCAGGTGCATTACATGACGCATGCTTACTACTTGAGTACAACGGTATCATCATCATCATCATCATAATCACTGCCTAGCACTCGTATACGCACATCATCATTGCGGACATACAGCTGCCATTCGACACCAATAATGCTTTGCAGATGACGATGATCAAAGATTTGAAGACGCCAAGTCTCACTCCCATAGAGTAGGACGGCCCTCACTGTGGCCTCGGAAGCACTGTCTTCTAGACCGATGTCACAGATGCAGCAGATACCAGAAGGCAGTGTAAACTTTTGCGACACGTGAACAGACTTCAGTGGTTATGCGTCCATCGTTGCTGATGCAGCTGCCAAAGTAAGTAAATTGATCAACTACCTCGAATTCCTAGCTGTCAAGAGTCAAGAGGTCGTCAAGTGCCTGGTGATCCTGCAAAAACATCTTGCACTTTGAAGATGCGAAGCGTATGCCAAATAATGGGACCATTTTAGAGAGATTACTCAGGGTTGACTGTACCACCCTAATATTGTTAGACAGCGTGACAATATTGTCCGAATAATCAAGATCGATTAGCTTTCCACCAGGCAGCACTTATCATCTGCATCGTGAGATTCCACAAGGGAACACTCCATGATGGAGTACATGACGAAAAGGAACAAAAATAAGGAAATTAGACAATCCTGACAAACGCCGCCTGTTGTCGGAAAGATATCCCATAAGTCCCCGTACACCCTGACGCGGCCCGTTGTGTTCCAGTACAGATCAGGTAAAATGTTCATATTTCATGGGAACACCTTTCCGCGCAAGTATTGCGTACGGAATGCATCGATCAACTGAATCGAACGTACACAGCTATTGTCGGACTGCGGTAGCGTGGCGCTGCTCTAGCGCCGGTCACAAAGTGAATAATTGGTCTATATAGCCCCGACCTGGGCGGAAACCTACATGATCTTCCCTAATCCAAGATGCCCCACAGTGAGGCGACGAAAGAGAATTGGGGGCAGTAATTTTGTCACAACTGGCAGTAGGCCAATACCCCGGTGGTTAGCACAGTCGGCGCGACTACCCCTCCTGTGTAGTGCCATTATAATTGATCCATCACGGTCATTGATTATACTAAATCCATACACCGGTGTCCAGCTGGAAGGGCAACTAATGGTGCGTAGAAATGCGTGTAACTGAGTGCGTGCGCTTGCTACTAAGGTTTTCCTACTACCATACCGCTGTTTTGACTTCACTTGGGTGTAACCCTCTCTAGTTAGCTAGGATGTCCTCTTCCTTCCAGACCTG